TTGCCTAAAACCTACAACCCTAAACTGGCCCTGAACCCTGAACCCTCAAACCCCAAACCCTAAACCCTACAACCCCGAAGCCCTCAGATGCGAGACTCCGTACAACCAGACAAGAAACCTAAACCCTAAAACCCTGAAGCCTAAACCCTAAAAACCCTAAACACCCGAACCCCAAACCCGAGACCCTAAACCCTAAACCCTAAAAACCCTAAAAACCCTAACCCCAAACCCGAGACCCTAAACCCTAAACCCTAAAAACCCTAAAAACCCTAACCCCAAACCCGAGACCCTAAACCTCTTTAAAGGAACCCTGAACCTCAAACCCTAAACCCTAAACCCTTAACCGAACCTCACCGACCGGGCTTCGCACAGGGCTTGGCCGGTGTTGACATCGACTGCGTGCAGGAAATACCTTTCGGGCCTGGAGCCACACACTCATGGCGTCGGTTTTGGGTTTTAAACTTTTTTTGGGGGGGAGGGGGGGGGGTTAATTTTTTGGGGGGGTTTAGGGCCTAGGGTTTAGGGTTTAGGGTTTAGGTTTTAGGGTTTAGGGCTTAGGGTTTAGGGTTTAGGTTTCAGGGTTTAGGGCGTATAAGATTTAGGGTTTAGGGTTGACGGCTTAGGTTTCAGGGTTTAGGGTTGAGGGTGTAGGGTTTAGGGTTTAGGGTGTAGGGTTTGGGGTTTAGGTTTCCGGGTTTAGGGCGTAGGGTTTAGGGCGTAGGGTTTAGGGTTTAGGGCTTAGGTTTCAGGGTTTAGGGCGTAGGGTTTGGGGTTTAGGGCTTAGGGTTTCGGGGTTAGGGTTTAGGGTTTAGGGCTTAGGTTTCAGGGTTTCAGGGTTTAGGGTTTAGGGCTCAGGGTTTAAGGTTTAGGGTTTGAGGTTTAGGATTCAGGCCTTAGGTTTTAGGGGTTTTCAGCTTACAGGGCTCATTCAACTAAAACGCTCATCGGCTCTTTCTAGGGCTCTGCTTTTTAACGCCCGGAGCCTGCAGGATACTCTCCACCGTAAACCCTAAACCCTAAACCCTAAACCCTAAACCCCAAACCCTAAACCGTGTAGGGTTCAGGGTTTAGGGTTTAGGGTTTAGGGTTTGGGGTTTGGGGTTTAGGGGGCCTTGGCAATGAGTACCGGGTTTGGGGGGGTATACCATACGATGCCAGAGACCCGAAGAAGTCGACGGTTTAGGGTTTAGGGTTTAGGGTTTAGCTTCTAGGTTGCACTCCAAAACGCCGAAGCCTTTGACTGAGCTGTTCAGTATTTTAGCACACGAAGACCCTAAACCTAACTAAACCGTTCAACCTAACCCTAAACCCTGAAACCTAAACCCTAAACCCTCAACCCTAAACCCTTCAACCTAACTAAACCTTGTGACTTCCCTACGGGACTTCCGCGAGAACCTCCAGAACCTCCTAGGCCCTCAAAAGGATCCCAGATCCTCACGAGGGAGTTTCCGAAAACAAAGGGGGTACCTTATTTTCAGGTCCTTATAATAAGGATCCTACTATTTAGGGTACTATATTAGGGTCCCCTCTTTTCGGAATCCCCCATGAATCTACCGGAACTGTGGGCGTATGGGATTTTAGGGGGTTATAGCACAAGAACAGCTGGGAAAGTCCTAACCTAAACCCAAGACCCGAGACCCTAAACGACCCTAAACCCTAAACCCCTAGACCCTAAATCCCAAACCCTAGACCCTAGACCCAAACCCCTAAACCCGAGACCCTATAGACCCTAACCCGTAACCCCTAGACCCTGCTTCGAGGCCAGGGCTGCATGCCATCCGGCACCACGCCACCGCGAATGTTGCTCTCGCGGATGGCAACCTCGGGAGGCTCCGCGGCTTCCATCTGTGGCTTCCTTATTTGGGGTTTAGGGGTTTAGGGGTTGAAAGTTTAGGGTTCAGGGTTTAGGTTTAGGGGTTTAGGGGTTAGGGTTTAGGGTTTAGGGTTTAGGGTTTAGGGTTTAGGTTTTGTTTCTTGTTTGGAGGGGGGGTTCAGGGTTTAAGGTACAGGGTTAAAGGTTTTGGAATAGTTTAGGGTTCAGGGTTTATAGGGTTCTGGATTTAAGGTCTGCCTAGACCCTGAAGAATCTACCTTCTTAGTGCTCCTTATCATGATTTCTTGAGTCCTTAAGGAGGTAGGTTAGATGGAGTCCATTAATTGGAGGGTCGAGGGACTTAGTAAGTAGTTACTTTATAGATTTATAAGTACCAGAGTCCCAGTTAGGATCCCTCTTAGGGTACTTATAAGTCTACTTATTACCCACTTACTAAGTCCCCCGACCCTCCAAGTAGAGGTTTAGGGTTTAAGGGTGTGGGGTT